ATAAGGAACTCAAGCCCACAGACCTCTTCCTGCTAGATCCATTCCTGCTATGAGATCTCAGAGCTTGGTGTTCACCTACGCCTTCTGGCTACTACTATCAACGGCAATTCTTACTGCCCCCAACCCCACTCATTGCAGGGGGGAGAAACCAGGGAGATCTTGAAAATAGTGAAGCAGGTCAGGTGGGGCTGGGAACCCTGAGAGAGCACATGCCCTCCTGTCTACAGGGCAGTTGCTACTCTGTTCCAGTCCACATGGCATTGAGCTTGTGACAGGCGCGCCATCTGGTGGCCACTCCATATAGAGCGGCAATTTAGCAGAGTGCAGATAGACATACCTTGTGTACATGGCCATGTCTTTCTTGAGACAAACTTCTCCCTCCCCACAATCCATCTCTAAGCCTCCATTCTCAGTGCCCAAGACCAGAGGCAGAGCAGGATCTCGTGGGAACCATGTGGAAGCCATCTAGGCGCGAACAGTATCCTGATACTTAGATATGCCTGGGAGGCCAAAAACAAAGTCCCAGCTTGGCCACAAAGTTAAGCAAGATTCTCCCCTAGCTCAGGCCTCTATATCTTTGTTTACAAACAGAGAAAGAGGAGCTAAAATAGCAGTTCTTCCTCTCAGCTATCTCTTATCTAGGCCAGAGATAGATAAAGTTTTCTTATTCTTCTTCTACACTGCCTTCTGATTTGTAGGTTGAAATAAATATGCTTTTTAAATTAACCCTGCAGGACAGAAGGTATCCCCAAACCCTCTCAGCTCTGATGTAATACTTGGGCCTGCCTGGGCCATCTGAAACATGAGGAAAAGAAATACATGCAGACATGTGATCTCCCACAAACAGTTCATAAATACTAGAGGCATGGTGCACGAAATCCATGCATGGGAGGGTCCCCTCAGCCAGCCTGCACCCTCTCCAATCTGGGACCCCTCGGGGGATGTCTAACTGCCAGTTTAGGCCTGATCCTTGGCCTAAACTGGCAGTTGGATATCCCTCTCATAATAATCCAGGACCATTGGCTCCTAACTGCTCACCTGCCTGGCTGTATGATCTCCCCTAACTGACCCCCTGCCAGGCTGATCACCCCTAACCGCCTCTGCCTGCTGGCCTGATCGCTCCCAACGCCGCCCCCCCCTTGCCACCACACTGGCCTGGTCACCCCTTACTGCCTCCCTGCCAGCCTGGTTGCACCACACAGCCTGCTGTTCGGTTGTCCATCTGGTCGTTTCAGTCGTGACAGTCCCTGGTTTTTTATATATTGGGATAGTGATCTAAGAAGCCCAATTCTTTTTTCTTTTTTTTAATATATTTTTATTGATTTTTTACAGAGAGGAAGGGAGAGGGATAGAGAGCTAGAAACATCAATGAGGGAGAATCATCGACCAGCTGCCTCCTGCACACCCCCACCGAGGATGTGCCCGCAACCAAGGTACATGCCCTTGACCGGAATCGAACCCGGGACCTTTCAGTCCCCAGGCCGACGCTCTATCCAATGAGCCAAACCGGTCTTGGCAGAAGCCCAATTCTTGAGATTAGAATTCTCAGCTATCATTCAGACCAACCTGGTAGTGCCTTACAACAGCCTTTATGGTCATGCAGCCACTACTTTCATCCATCCAGTGACAATGAACTTATCCCCAGGCAGCCTGGCCCATCTTGTTTAGCTCTGACACAAAGCCTTCTCTCCAGAGAAAGATATTTCCTTCTCGCAGATACCTAAATCTGCCCTCCAAGGCCACACAGACCATGTCTAATCTGTCTTCCTGGAATAGAGCCCTTTGGGGATTTCAACACAGAAGCCATATCCTTCTAAATCTACTTTTTTCAGGGTAAATAATCCCAGTTCCAACTATGTCTTTCATGGGGCTTTGCTTGGTCTCTCTATCCTGCTTGTTTCCTAAGGTATCCGTCAGTCATTTAACAAAAATTTCTTCTGAGACTCTCCTAGATGCTAAGCAGCCCAGTCTGTGCCCATCTCCTTCAACGATCTAATGTTGAACCAAATGCCACAGCTAGAGGAAACTGAGCAACTAAGAGGGCTGGAAAGACTGACCTCTTCCCTTCTGATTACAAAGGCATTGCCTTATTGAGATGAGACACCAGGCTGTTAAAATCCTGTTGATCTTAGCCCAGGGTCATCCTTGGGCCAATTCCCATCCAGTAGTAGCTTTCTGAAACCCAGTGAAAAAGATTGAGTTTGAATCTGAGCCAAGGAGAAAAAATGAGACCCCATACTCCATGAGGCAATTGGTTTTCTAGTCCCCATCACAGGACCTTAGATTGTTCTTGTTCCTGTCCCTCTTGTTAGGATTTCCTCGTTGTTAGGATCCTCACTCTGTAAGTCATCTATTCACCTGGCCAGCTGAGTGTCCTGGCATCACTGATATAAAAATGGTCAATATTCACTCATATAAATTGAGGAAATTGTAAAATAGGGCACAACTGAGGCTCCAAGTGGTTAGGGTGTCTGTGGAAGAGATCATAACCCAGTGGGTCTGACTTAGAAGCCTGATTCCTCTCCAAAATTCAAGCTTCACTTCCAGGATGGATGAGTGGTGAACAGACCCTTCACTCCTTTGAGTGGCTACCAGGACTGCCAGGCACAAGGCCCCAGGTGGGTACACTGATGGGACTGCACTGATACCATCCCACCCAAGCTCTGGAAAGGCCAGTTTCCCAGCAGAGTCACATCCCATTAACAGGAAGCACTTAACTGTAAATGGAAATAATATCTACTTCTCAGGACCAACTAAAATGGCATATGTGAGTACTTAGCTCAATGGCTGGCACATTTATCACTATACAATAGTGATAAATGAGCACTATTGTACCGCATTGTTGTTAGCCATTTTTGCCAAGGTAGAGTAGGGCAGTGACTAGGTCTCAAGTATGGAGGAAGCTAAATCCTGTTACTGCAGAGCCTACAGGAGCCAGACAGAGACAGGTCCAAGGAAATGAGGGGCACAGCTAAAGTGACCTGACCCCAGCCCAGAGCCAGAAGGGCTTGGACAGGCTGGGTAAGCAGATAGAGGGAGGCCTAAATAACCGCCACCACACTCATCCTTCACCAAACATTTACTGCCAAGGCCTGTGGCAGAGGCAATGTGGCCACCTCAGGGAAGGGCTCTGAAAGCTTGATCTGGGGCCCAGGCCAGATGGGGCTGAGAAGAGGAGCAGAACCAGGGCCCATGTGCCCAACAAGCTGTGCCAGCCCAAATTTGAGTTATATTAGGAGAAGGGATCTGTTCAGAAACTCACCCATCTCTAGATATTTGCATATTCTATTTCAGGGTCTCTTACCCCCCACCCCTTCGCTTCCTAGAAAAGTTTTTATGATCAATTTCAATTTCACCTCTGCTGAACCACAAAAGCTCACTCAGTCCCCTCTCCACTCCAACTACCAACTAGAATTCTCAGCCCTCCCAGCTTCCACTGCCCACCCCCACTTCTCTTCTCCCCCCCCCCCCCCCCCCCCCGCCCAATTCAGACCTCATCTCCTGCAACTGGACTCCAGTTCCACTGTGACATCTCCCCAAGGTCACCATGGCTCAAGTCAGCAAATCCAAGGTTAGCCCTTTGGTTACTAGGTTTCTCTGTGGCATCTCACACCACTGGCCAAGGCTTCTCGGTTCAGTCCTTCCATTCCATAAGCTTAAATGACTCCTGCTCTCACCTTTTCAAAAGCAGCAGGTCCTGGCCGCTTCCATGTCCCACGTCCATTAGTCACCATTTATTATAAAGTGTGTATGCCTACTCTCTTTGCCTAAAAAGTTGAATACTCTTCTCACACGACACAGGCCCAGTTTTCAACTCACAACTTCCTGATCACTATCTACATCCTAGAAACACCCAATTGTCTACGAGACATCACCACATGGCTGTCCCATAGCACCTCAAGCTTAACTTGTCCAAAATTGGACTTGCATTCCAAATTCCAACCCCAACCATTTGTTCTTGTTGCACTACCAGCTACACTCACATCCTGCCTGCCTTCTCTCTCCCCCTTCCCCTCTCCCTGCATCTAATTTTTCACATCTCACATCCCTCCTCTCCTCCCAGCTCCCCTGCTATAGCTTTAGTCTAGGACCTACCATGTTTCAGCTGGAATCTCCTAGTTGGTCTCCCAATCCCAGCCTCATTTCCCAAAAATCTAGCCTCCACCCAACTGTCAGATTATCTCATACACACATCCGGTCTCCCACTGCCCTTCCTAAAGCCGTCCACAGGGTGCTCTTTGCCCTCAAGACTAAACTCAAGCTTCTCAGCCTGATCAGACTCTGCACCACTCCTACTCCTGCACTACCAGCCCACACAGCATATACACCTTCCCACTCAATCCCTCCTCACCCTTCGGGTTTCAGCTTAGATGTCACTTTCTCCATGAAACTATCCATCACATACTGAGCCCCTAACCCTAACCCAAGTTAGCTCCCCTATCATGAGTCCCATACCCACTGGACCAGCCTAGTTTGGTTTTCATCAGATATTAGCATGAACTGTTTGTCTGTTTAACCATTGACCTGCTTCTGGTAGAACAAAGATCCCATCTTTCTCACTTGGCACAAAATAGAGGCTGAATGTTTATTGATAGGGTGAAGGGGACAACAGTGAGGAAAAAGTTCTTTGCCCATGGAAAGCGCAGGCTCAGTAGGGGCACTTAGCAAACTCAACATATTTAAAACATGGCAACAGGAAGCAATGCCAACTTGCCAAGACCCTGGAGGAAAAAGCTGGCAAAGAGGGGAAAAGGAAGTAGTGGGGATGCTCAGTTCTGGGAAACAGTATAACTGGTATTTAGGAGTTGGTTTTAGGGACAGGGCAGAGTTACCCAAATGTTCCACAGCATGATAGGGCAGGAAATTAAGGAGCCCTGGTGTCTTTGAAGGCAGTCCCTTGAGGGCAGGGGATGAGATGCCATAGAAAGGAAACCAGCTCTACGTCAGCTGTACCATGGAGACAAGTGGGCTGTGTCAGCCCCATTTAACCAAGACAGGCCATGAAGATGGAACTGGCCTTTGTTTCTACCACAAACCAGCAAGAGACATTGGATTCAAAGACAGGTCTTCCTGGTTTCTGTCCCAACCACAAGAGGCAGTTGGACTCTAGACAATCCACTGAAGCACAAATGGGTCTGGGCCCTGGTGGGTTTATTCCGTCTTCTCAGCCAATGCAAACACCTCTCAACATTAATTCTAGGATTGAGAGGGGAATGCGGAGAGACTTCACATTTTCTGGAGGAAGGAAAGAACACTATGGTATTTGGGCTATTTCTGGAATAGTGCATCCTCCTGAGTATGTCCCTTTAGGAATATCACTGACACGCTGGAGGTCATCCAAAGAGAAGAACAGAATGTGCTGAGGACCAACACTGGAGGTCAAGGAGCAAGTGAATCGCACTAGTCTCCTTGATGGAAGCCTAGTTAGCAGAGGGAGCAGAAAGGGGGCTGAGAGGTAAAGACTGGGCACAAAGCTCACAGTAGACAGCCTATAAGTGGCAAACCTTTGGTCCCAGGTGACAAGCAGAAGCCAAATAACCATAGTTGTGATTCTATGAATGGAACAAACACCTGCCAAAGGCACCAAGCAAGAGCAGTCCACTGAGCAATTTCCTACTGAAACACAATCTGAAGGGAAGAATTTTTCTCCTGACAAAGTAGTCAAAGCACATGAAACCCACTCATTCAACTGGGGCATGTTTGCAGTGCGACAAGGTATGCAGTGCCAAGGGGAACGAGTAGATGAGACAGCAGCTTGGGGTTGGTGCCCTCTCTGCAATATAAAAGCTAAGACCTATGCCTATTGTATTGCTGTGTAGTATTGTTATGTAAGTGCTCTTGTATTTACACCTTCAGGACAGAGAACAGTACTTGCCTCCTGGCACAGTTCTGAAGTCTGTATCCTGGCATCATTATAGAACAGGCATCAAAGAATGCCCAGTGAGTCCTAGCTGGTTAGGCTCAGTGTAGAGTATCATCTTGTGAATTGATGGGTCCCGGGTTCAATTCCAGTCAAGGGCATGTACCTAGTTGGAGATGTGCGAAGGCAACCAATCGATGTCTCTCGAATTGATGTTTCTGTCTCTCTCTCTCCCTTCCACTCTTTCTAAAAATCAATGGGGAAATATCCCTAGGTCAGGATTAGCGAACAAAAACAAAAAAAGTGAGAAAAAGCATTTTTTAAAAAGAGTGCCTGGTGAGTCTAGGATGGGAGACAAGGAAGTTTTTAGAAGCCTCTGAGAGAGGAATTGCTGTGGAGGGTAAGCTGCCCCTACCTGCTTCTCTGAAAGTATACCCAGCCCCTGCCTAGACTGTAGTCATCTCAGAAACATAAACTTCTTCTGGCCTCAGCAGTAATACAGCAGACACTCTGGAAACTGAACAGCAGCCTTGCTCCAGCCTTGGGCACTTTCTGAGGATGCCACAGCCCAGAGTACCAAAGGGTTTGGGGACTATCGCCAGAAACTTCTCCAGAAAGAGAATGTGGGCATCACACAGAATCCTATGACATGGAACTGAAAATCTCCACCCAGAGCCCAGAAGGGGCCAGCTCTGCTCCCTGATATTGCAGTACCAAGACCCACACATCATGCTTGCCCCACTGTTTCCACCAACATGGATCAGCCAGAAAGGCCAAGCACTGGACAAAGCAAAGGTCAACCATCAGGTGTATTAAGGAGAGGACAGATAGGGCACCTCCAGGAATGCCTCCCACGGGCAGCCACCTTAGTAGTTTGTTGGGGTTAAGGAGGAGTTTATGGGGCTCCTCCGGCAAAAATGAGCTCCAGAGCTGCTTGGATGTCCCCCCCAGTGGCCTGTAGGGCCCGCAGGCTCAGCTCATCATCCTGAATGCCCATGTCGCGCAGCTGTTGCAGCTGGGGCTGCCACTGGCTCTGCAGAAAGACAGGAAGAGGGAAAAACTGTTAGCTGGGATCCTACGGAGATTCACTTAGGTCTATCCTTTGAGGTAAGAGGAAAGGGTGGGTTCCTATTGCAAACTCACTGATTTGAAGTCCCATAGAACACAGGATTTCTAATAAGACTACGTGAGAGGCTGTGAGTTCAGAGAACAAATTAAAAGTTTATCCAATAAAAAAAAGGAAAATTTTAACATAAGGATCAAAAGCATAAATTACTTAATGTTTGAAGTTCAAAAGATTACTTTCTTTCTCCTACTATATGTATAAACAGACACAAACGTGCACATGCATGAGGAGTGAGGAGGGTAAATTTTAAAAATTTTGTTCTAGCATAATAAATAGTGAAGTCTTACTCTCATCCACTCAAAACCTCATAACTGATAACCAATTATATTTTGAGAAGACAAATATATATTCCTGTATTTATACTTTTCTTATGTTCCTCTTCTATATCTATACCCCTCTTTTTAACATTCTCAATGTATCTTGGACATCTCTTTATGCCAGAAAATAAAGAACTTTTTTTCTTTCCTTTTTTTAGAGAAAGGAAAGGGTGAAAAGGAAAGGGTGAGGGAAGGAGAGAGGACGAGAAAGGGAAGGAAGGGAAAGGGGTAGGAAGAGAAGGAGGGAAGGAGGAGGGGGAGAAAGGGGGAGGGGGACAGGAGGAGAGGGAGAGAGGGAGAGGACAGAGAGAAGGAGAGAGAGAGAAAGAGACAGAGGGAGAGAGAGAGAGAGAGGAAGAGAGGGAGGAGGAGAGAGAGAGAGAAACTTTGATCAGTTGCCTACCAAATATGCACCCTGACCTGGGAACAAACCCACAATAGGTATGTGCCCTGACTGGGAATAGAACAGCAACGCTTTGGTCACAGGACAATACTCCAACCAATCAAGCCACCCAGCCAAGGACATAAAGAACTTTTTAATCCTATATGATAAAAGCTCAATATGCAAATTGTTCAACCTATAGTTCAACTGTTTGCTATGACATGTGCTGACCACTAGAGGGCAGCACAGAACATGGCAGGCTTCAGCCATGTGGTGCTAGCAGCAGGTGACAGTGGAGGTGCTGCTGGTCAGGGTGGACCCCGACCACAGCAGGACTATGGCTGGATGGTCGAGCAGATGAGTGGGCGGCATCAGGCCAAGATGGGTGTGAGTAGGAGCCTGATCACCCAGCCAATGGCAACCAGCAGCAGCAGCAGCAGCGGGGTGCGGGGCTCCCACTTGGCTCCCAGGCACTGAGGGAGCTGTGCAGGGGATCCAGCCCCAATTGATCACTCCACAGGTGGGATGGTGGAGCAGGTGAGAGGGCGGCGTCAGGCCACTGTCGGGTGCTAGGCAGGGCTGCGGGGCTGCAGGTTGGGGGCATGAGATGGGGCCCAATCCCCAAAGGCCACCCCAAGGGACCCCACTCGTGCACAAACTCATGCACCCGGTCTCTAGAAACCATATAATACTCTAACCCATGGATGTCCTGAAACGTACAGTAACTGGATTATTTCCAACCCTTTGCCATTGAAGGGACAATGGCAGTGGCTGATTCTGTACAAATGTCTTCTTCACATATATACATCTCCAGATAACTTCTGAGAAGTGAGACTGCAAGGAATTGCATGGCTTAGGGGCCATCTGTAACTGTAGTCTGTTCATGGTCTTTTCCTTTCCATGTAGACAGGGTGGCAGCCTTGCTCCAGCCTTAGGCATATCCTGAAGATGCCGTCTACACTGCACTTCCAAAAATAGTCAACATGTAGTTGTTGGTCCTAATTTACTGGACCCTCTATGTATCAAAGATTTTTCCCCCCACTGTATGACAGATTTCCTTCCAATTTGCTGTTTGACTATTTTTAAAAAATATTTTATTGATTTTTTACATAGAGGAAGAGAGAGGGATAGTGTGTTAGTAACATTGATCAGCTGCCTCCTGGAGATGTGCCCACAACCAAGGCACATGCCCTTAACCGGAATCGAACCCGGGACCCCTCAGTCCACAGGCTAACGCTCTATCCAGCAAGCCAAATCGGTTAGGGCAGACTTTGCCTAACCGATGTTTTAAAAATATATTTTACTAGAGGCCAGATGTACGAAATTCATGCACGGGGGGCGGGGGTAGGGTGTCCCTCAGCCCAACCTGCACCCTCTCCAATCTGGGACACCTCGAGGGATATCCGACTGACCGTTGGGATTGGGCCTAAATAGGCAGTCGGACATACCTCTCACAATCCAAGACTGCTGGCTCCCAACTGCTTGCCTGTCTGCCTTCCTGATTGCCCCTAACCACTTCTGCCTGCCAGCCTGATCACCCCTAACCACTCCCTGCCAGCCTGATTGATGCCTAACTGCTCCCCTGCCAACCTGTTTGCCCCTATCTGCCCTCCCCTGCAGGCCTGGTCCCCCCCAACTACCCTCTCCTGCAGGTCTGGTCACCCCCAACTTCCCTCCTCTGTCAGCCTGGTCACCCCTAACTGCCCTACCCTGCTGGGTTGATCACTCCCTACTGCCTTCCCTTGCAGGCCTGGTCCCTCCCAACTGCCCATGTTGTGGCCATCTTGTGTCCACCTGGAGGCAGGACCTTTGATTACATGGTGTGGAAGTGACAGTCAATTTGCATATTGCTCTTTTATTAGATAGGCTAGAGGCCTGGTGCACAGGTGAGGGCCAGCTGGTTTGCCCTGAAGGGTGTCCCAAATCAGGGTGGGGGGTCCCTTGGGGCATGAAGCAGCCTGGGTGAGGGGCCTGTGGTGGTTTGCAAACAGGCCACTCTCCCCAGCAACCCAAGTGGAGGTCCTGGGATCTAGGATTTATTTATCTTCTATAATTGAAACTTTGTAGCCTGGAGCAGAGCCAAGCCTCCTGCTCACTCCATGGCCGCAGCCATTTTTGTTGGGATTTATTTATCTTCTATCATCGAAACTTTGTACCCTTGAGTAGAGGCCTGGGCCCACCAGAGTGTGCGGATGGCTTGGCTTCCTCCATTGCCAGGGAAACCCAAGCCTCCTGCTCTCTCTGTGGCCTCAGCCATCTTGGTTGGATAATTTCATATTCATTCCTGATTGGATGGTGGGTGGGATGGAGTGATTAATTTGCATATTACTCTTTTATTAGATAGGAATGATTTTTTAAAAAAAAACAGAAATAAGGGAGAGCAATTGAGAGTTAGAAACATCAATCAGCTGCTTCCTGCACATCTCCTACTGGGGATGTGCCTGCAACCAAGGAACATGCCCTTGACTGGAATCAAACCTGGGATCTTCCGGTCCGCAGGCCAATGCTCTCTCCAGCAAGCCAAATTGGTTAGGGCCAGACTTTGCCTATTTTTGTTTGTTTGTCTATATTGCTATGCATAAATTTTCACTTTTATAAACTCCTGGATTTTAAATTTCAGTTATGAAAAGCCTTCTCAAATGTAAGAATTTAAAGAAATTAACCCACATTTTTTTCAGTACTCTCAAAGCTTTATTCTATCTCATGAAGGAGGTAAGTGCACAACCTAGGAAAAATTATGTGTTCATACTGTGGGAAGGAAAAGGCAGTGGGAAAGGAATGTAATTCCATGCAGGCAGGAAGGCGGAAGATGTGGAGGGTTTTTTAAAAACCCACACAAACCAATTCTGACTCAGTTTACAGCCCTGATGGAACTACTGGAGAGCAAGGTAAACAGGCTTCTAGCTGGGGAAGATGAAGAAATAGAAAAGAGCCCAGCTGGCATGGCTCAGAGGTTGAGAGATGACCTATGAACCAAGAGGTCATCGTTCGATTCCCGGTCAGAGCACATGCTCGAGTTGTGGGCTCAATCCCCAGTAAGAGGCCTGCAGAAGGCAGTCAATTGATGATTCTCTATTATCACTGATGTTTCTCCCTCTCTCTCCCTCTCCCTTTCTCTCTGAAATCAATAAAAATATATTTTAAAATAATAATAAATTGAAAAGACAAGCTCCCATTCCCCTCACCATCCACCTGGGCTGCATGGGATAGACAAAACCACATGGCTTGAACCTGGTCTCTACCACTTCCTGGCTTATTGACCCTGACATGTTCCAGAAATGATGTTCATCCCAACACTTACTGTGAGCAGCAAAGAAAACTGTGAAGCAGACAGCTGTGCATGAAAACATGCAATAAAACCCAATCTTCCAGTTAGCTGCTAAGGTGACCATGCCATGAAGCACAGCAGATGGTGTCACTCTGCTTAAAACCCCCTCGGCTCTCTAGTGATTCCTGGATCAAGCCTAGTTACCCTACCAGGCACTCTGGATCTCACGCTCAGGCAGGCGCCCGATCTCCTTTTCTCTAACTATTATCTCAGGATCTTCTCCACAAGGACATTGCGTAGGGCCTTGTAGTTCTGAGTTTGTCACATGTCCCTGTTTCACACATGCCTGGACATCATCCCTCCACCCCAAACACCCACTTCCCTGCCTGGCTAAACTCTAACTAGTTCTTTGACAACCAGTTTAAACATCCCTTCTTCAGACAAGTTTTGTCTGACTATCACCTCAAGCCTGGGGCAGGCTTCTCACCCTGTTGCTCATCAAGCTCAGTACCTAACTACCTAATGCTCCTCTGTGGCAGGAATGAGGACAGCTCATCTCTATCTCGGAAAAGGACCCGGGGCTCAGGCTCAGTATTTACATGCTCAGTGCTCAGGCAATGCTCACGGAATGACAGAACTGACAAAAACTACCATAAGTATCCAAGCCAGGTGATCAGTGGAGTCAGGCCATGGTCACTGGGTACAGGAGGGGAAGTCACAGGGACAATCGCCCCTACTTGGAATATCTTCCCGCTATGCTACCATGCCTGGGCTGTACCTGGAGTGAAACATGTCAAGTGGAAAGGCCCCCCAGAGTGCAGAAAAAAACCTGGTAGCCAAAGTAACCAGGAAAGCCACATGGGCACTAGGAGTAGGAAGACTGACCTGAAGGTTGGGCTGCCCAGAGGCCTGCAGGGCATGCTGGAGGGCTTGGCTGAAGAGATCATTAGTGATGGGCGTCCCTGACTGGACACCAGAGGACATTGGTGAGGTCCCGGAGGAATGGCCCTAGAAACAAACCAGTGGTCAAGGCCACCCTCGGAACCATCTCAATCTCCCAGCACATACCCACTACTGTCACATCACCTCATAGTGCTCCTGGGGTGCCCAACTATTGCCTCTCAACAGAGGCCTGCATGAGAAAACCACAGAGAGGTACCTAAAGGCTCATAAGATGGGCAGAAAGAGCTCCATTCTTTTCCGCTCTAAGGAATGAAATTGAGCCCCCAAACCAGCCTAGGATCCAAGCACTGGAAGCTGTAGTAACTATCATTAGGAACATTAGGCCATTGAGGGCTGGTCCCTGTCAGGGATAGGGAAGCACACTTTATGTGAGAGAGGTTCTCCTGAACTATTATACTAAGAGGAAGAATCAATCAGGACTGTGCCACACTTAAAGGCAAGTGAGAAAAAGGTCTCACAGTGAGAAATGAGAGTCCAGGCAGAGTTCAGCTCAAACCAGATCTAGCACCAGGTTCAGCAAGGGCAAATCCATTCTGCCACTGGGGAACTTCTCTCCTAGGGCCCAGCCCCCATTTTCCGATCCTCTCTCCATACCTGGGTGCCAGGAGTCGGCGTGTGAGAGCTGCTCTCTGGAGTGCTGGCCAGGGCCAGGGCAGTGGCCAGCTCACTCTGGGTGATGGGTCGGGGTCCGGCAGCGCCACTGTACCCCAAGGAAGCTGGGCGAGAGCTGGGTGCGCTGCTAGAGGGCATGGACCTGGCTCTCTGGAGAAGACAGGCACACAGAATCAGGAAAGTAGTCCTGTGACAATCACAGATACCCTCTCAACCCCTGCTGCCAAGTTCAGAAGCAATAGTATGACACAGACTTGGCCACTAAAGGGCCTATGACTACCTCACAGCTTGGGCTCCGGGTCCCAGGGAGGAGAGCATCCCTGGCACCAGGTTCCCCAAATGGCAGGCAGCCAGGCCACTTACTGGGTGAAAGTCGTCCTCATCATCAGAAAGCCCCTCAAACAGGAAACCACCTGGAGGAGGGAGAACAGATTTCAGGGAGAACAGAAAGGCACGGGCATTGCTCCAGAATCTCAGTTCAGATACTCTCCAAATTCATATTTTCATCTCTCTCCTTGGAAAATGACAGGACAGATGCACTCCCGGACTCAAACCGAGAATCCCCAAGGAACACCCTCTGCCAGCGCTAAACATAGCTGCTGATTAAAGCATTTTCCTGAGATACTGCCGGCTCCTGAGGGGGCCTACACAACACTCTCCTGACTCACCTGGCATGTCCCGGTAAGAGCTGGAGGGTGTGCTCCGGGAAGAGGAGTCCGCCCCCGGTAGTGGCGTGCTGCCTGCCACCGAGTGCAGAACCAGGACAATGGCATTGACTAGGGCTGGGTGAGCAGGTACCAACCTGGAACAGGAGCAAGAAGAAACCCAAGGGTGAATAAGGAGGGTACCCTCGCCTTGACAAAAGTCTGGGTGGCCCTCATAACTATCACGTGGCCTGTGTCTGCCCTTAAATTCCTGTCTTCAGCACCTCCTTTCAGTTCGTTTTGTCCTCTTCTGCTCTGTCCCTAGCAACAATGGCAAGGCCTTCAGTCCTAGGATCCACTTTAGTTGCCTCACATTCCCTTGGGCAGGATAGGATAGGACAGCCTGAGAGGCTCAGTGGTCAGTTTCTGGTCTCGACCCTAGTACTACTTCCCTGGGCCATCTTTGATAGGTCCCTTCTTTTCTCTAGGGGAGTAGGAGAGGGAGAGCTGTTTTATTCACTTGCAAAATAGAGACATAATCTCTGCCGGCCCTTCCAGCTCTAAAACAATAAGGATTGATGCACCTGCTTTCTTCCCCAGCTTCCTGTCCTTTAAAGAATCTTTCATAGCTACTGAGTGAGAGCTAATCTGAGCCTAGCCCACAAGGCCACCTCCCTCAAACCCTACTTCATCTCCACAACAACAGGTGTTCCTGCCCTTGATCTCATTGTTCCCACATAGCATTCCTGCTCTTTTCATCTCCTGACATATTTAGAAGGTAGGTTTAGGGGTAGACAGGGACTGGGCTCCATGAGCAGAATCCGGGGCAATAATCAGGCTCTGGTGCAACCATTTGAGGAGAAACAGGGAACTCTTTAGTAAGAAGGGTATACTTACGTATCAAGCATGTTGGGATCAGCAAAGACAGAGAAAAGGTCTTTGTCCTGGAGAACCCCTAAGGAGAACAGGATTCATCTCAGAGACTGAAACTTAGCCAGATCCAGGAGGGAGAAGAGCCTCAGAGCAACTGGCTCCAAGGAGACACAAAGCACCCATGTAAGAAGTGGAAGAAACAAAACATCAAGCAGCACGACTGAGGTCTCCATCTTGTTCCCTGCCTGTCACCTCCCTGCACGTGTCACAGACTGTATGCTGAACGCCAGCTTCTTTTCCTCATATCTCTGGGTTCTTCCTTATCCATCAAGGTGTGTGTGTAGGAAGCCTTCCCTGATTACTGTGGTTTGGGCCAACTGTTGCCCTCATCTCACATCCTTATAGTCTGATTTTTTAAAATATATATTTTTTATTAATTTTTTTACAGAGAGGAAGGGAGAGGGATAGAGAGCTAGAAACATCGATGAGAGAGAATCATCGACCAGCTTTCTCCTGCACACCCCCCCATCGGGGATGTGCCAGCAACCAAGGTACATGCCCTTGACTGGAATTGAACCTTTCAGTGTGCAGGCGGACGCTCTATCCACTGAGCCAAATGGGTTTCGGCTATAGTCTGATTTATGTTAGTCAGGCCATGATTTCTCTGAGGGGCTGACAGCTCTTGGAAGGCTCGGTATATGTATCACATCTTGGTTCTCCCCTCCCTCAACAAGACCAGTGATTCCTCAAAAGATGGTCAGAGTCTTTTTAGGGCAATTGCCACCTTCTAGTTTCTGTTTCTCCAACAACTCCTTTGCCTCAAATTCAGTTCTGTACTTACCAAGAGCAATGGGGTCACTGCTGAGGCCTGGGGTGGCCACAATGATCTGATCCAGAGATTCCTTATTGCTGAGCATCTTAAAGACCTGCAGGAGAAATGGGGAGGACTGAGTACTCCAACCAGCTTAATCCACTCAGCAAATTCCCACCCTCCACTGAAGTGCTCCCTCCCTCTAAGTGCTGCACATATACCACCACAGTAAAACAACAGTTCCAGTTAACAGATGAACCTCTTCTCTGAGATTTTGGCTTACTGGAGGGAAAACAATTTTTTTTAAAGGCAGTATCACAGTAAACCTTCCATCTCTAGTCCTTCCCCCATCTATTCTTCTTCTTCTTCTTCTACTTCTTCTTCTTCTTCTTTTTTAGTATATTTTATTGATTTTTCAGAGAGGAAGAGAGGGATAGAGAGAAACATTGATGAGAGAGAATCATTGATCAGCTGTCTCTTGCACACCCCCTACTGGGCACATGCCCTTGCCTGGAATCGAACCTGGGACCTTTCAGTCCGCAGGCCGACGCTCTATCCACTGGGCCAAACCAGTTTTGGCCCCCCATCTATACTTCTAGCTTCCAAAATTAAAAGTTCTCGTTACAAGCCAATAACAAAGCTTCCTTTGATCCCAAGTTTTTTGTTGTTGTTGTTGTTGTTGTTGTTGTTGTTGTGTGTGTGTGTGTGTGTGTGTGTGTGTTTCTTCTTCTTTTTGGTTAATCCTCACCCAGGATATTTTTCCATTACTTTTTGAGAGTGGAAAGAAAGGGGAGAGACAGAGATAAACATTGATGTGAGAAAGACACATCAATTGGTTGCCAATGGTCTATCCATTGTGCCAAACCAGCTAGGGCCAAAGTTCTTTTTAATCACTGCAGAGTTATCATTTCATATTCATATATTGGGAAGTTTCAGCTGTATTACTTTTTTGCTTTCAACTCTCCTATAGAAAGACATAAGTGTATTTCCCACTAAGGAAATCCAGGTAAGGAGCAGTGGGCAGGCAGTTCAGACTATTTCCAAGAATGAGGCCCAGCAGAAACCATATGCAGATTCTTTGGCTGTAATCATATTCATTCTGTGAAGCCAGTATCAGAAGTTGTATCATTTTCATTAGATGGCAATCAACAATACCTAGCTGATACAGCCTCTTTGGGGGAAGAAGAGGGTTAGGGGGACTCTACAGAGACCCACAGACATGGCAAAAACTCCCAAGGAAATCTTTGTAGCCATGGCAATGGGCTCCCAGCTCCCACTCTACACCACTCTCCAGCATTCACACTCTCTCTTGCAGGCCTGGCAAATCTCAGGCAGGAGGCTGTAGCAAACTCACCGCCTCCCTGTAGGAAGAGCTGCTTTGTAAGGCAGTGTGCAGCACCCGGAACTCCCGCAGGGCAGCCACTTTGTCCACAGGTTCTGTGGATAAGACACACAATTACCCAACAGCCCAAGCCCTGCCAGTGCTGCAGACACAGAACATGTGTCCAGGTACAGCCTGGTCTGCAGGTTCCCTCCCTCATCATCCCACTAAGAATGTGAATGTCCATTCAAGAAAACCCATTTATGACAAAAATGTAAAAACTGCCCTTTTAAGCATCGTCATTGATAATTAGTCCAAGTTTCAGGAGAGGGAAATCTTATCACATGAAAGAAACTGTTCTGATCAACACCACACTGCAGAAATTCTAGACTTCTTACACAGGTATAACCAACTCAGTAGTTTACACAATGCTTTAAAACACTAAGTGCTGCAAGTCATTTGAACAATACAGAGCTACACCAAAGCATGTCAAACTCAAAGGCTAACACGGGCCAAATAAACAAGGTTCAAGTTTATGTGGGTCACAAAACAAACAAACAAACAAAAAACACAAAAGCTTCAATTTTCATAGAAACGTAGGTTTATTTCAATACAGACATGCTGAATACAAAGGGCTGAATTAAATGAGTCATTGTTAACATATAATAATAGAAACTTTCAATAAAAATTAATTTTTTTCTTGAACATTAACTTACCAGACTCTGAATAACTGCCCAAATTAATAAGCATAATGCAAATAAACCTATTTTTTTTGTCCTCAGAAAGTGAAATATTTCCTGTTGCGCATGCCAAACAAGTCAGTGCAAGGGCAATGGCATGGCAATAGGCTGTTAAAAAATTCGCTGCCAGTATGAGTGTTGAAATGGTGCACCTGCCCATAGGGTACATAGGGAAAGAAATGCAACACGATTATAGTAATCAGTCATTAGCAAACGTTGTAGTTTGTTATTAATAATTATGTATAACAGGATATCGTAAAAATTAAGTTACAATATTCTTATTAAAATGTTTCTTACATTCTGTTATATTGGCTGGGCCAAAAAATATTCATTGCGGCCCGCAGACTGCGAGTTTGACATGCTTGAGCTATACTAACACAATATGTTTTAAAAAATATTGTTTTCTCTTTGATATATTCTTTCAGGCTTCCTTAATATTTTGAATTTTTTTAAAAATACAAGAGGAACCAAGAATATACACTGTACTTCTAGGATTCTTAACAAACTTTCATCACATGCTTGATATCACATGTTTCACTGGGACTCAAAGTTCATATATAAGGGAAAGTTTAGCAGCTGTCTTAGTTTTAGTTGGTTGCTTTACTACCTAGGACATCAGCCCATTTCATAAGCATAGAAATGTAGGTAAAAAGGGGGAGTATGTAAAAAGTTCACTCTGGGTCACACTTTTAGAAATGTGGTTACCCTCACCTGGGATAGATACTAGTGACTATGTAGACTGTAGACTGTCAAACGCCGGGGCATCACCATGTAGAACCACATCTTTACCTGTATTTCTAATTGTGAGAATTATTTCTCCTGAAAATATTTACCTTAAGTAAATTACCTAATTTATTTATTTAACAAATATATACTAAGCATTTACTCCATGCTTGGTTTTGGCCAAGGCACAAGAATGTAAAAAATAAGAGTCCTTGACATCATGGACTCTTAGGACAGCAGGAGAAAGACTAGATCAAACAAAAACCACACTATTACAAAATACCATGCTGAGGACCTCAGCAGAGATGCGGTCCCCAGCACTAGGAACAAGAGTCAGAGAGCCATTACTGAGAGGGACAGCTAGGACAGAGTTGTTCCCCAGAAGAGACCATTTGAGAGGGTATTTAAGGTAGAGCTGATGTTTGTTAGTGAGAGAAGGTAGTCCACGTTTAAGCAAGAACATGTGTGAAGGCATGGAGAAATAATATGAGGTGCCCTGAAGAAACAGAGTCTTTTATTGTGGCTGGAGCTTGGGGTACACATCCCTGCTCAAATAGGAGGCTAATGAAGATCCTGAAGAGATTTGTAACCTCCCAGGGATCCAGGAAGGAAAGGAAGGTTTGACAGATTCTTCTCTTACAGGTGCTAATCTGGCAGGGAAACAAAATGTGCTTCCTTTTGGAAAAGTACTCAAGGATACAGTATCTAAAATGTTTCTTTTCCAGATCTAAAAGTATATGTTAACTTCCTAATAAAAAGTCCATTTGTTTCCAAAATAAATCTCCAGGAAAAGGGGAGAGGAAAAGGACTTTTAATATCTTAAACCAATAATTGGTTAAGAGTCATGGTTGTTTCTATGACATCTCTGAGCTAATCTCACTTTTTGGAAGTGGGAGGCATCCAGCCCAGTAAAAAGAACACGACCTCTTGAGCCAGGAAAACCTGCATGAACATCTCAGCTTTGCATTAATTTTCTAAGTAGGTGACCTTGAATAAATGCCCTTTTAATCCTCTTTTTGCTCATCTATAAAATGCTAATTTTGTTACCTATCCTGCAGGGCCACTGTAATTATGAAATGAAAAAGCAAGGAGACACAATCTGGCTGGAAGAAACAACAAATGTTACTTTCCTTCTGTCAATGCCTTCTCGCGGAAGACCAGAGGGGCTCACTTGCAATTGCACAAATTGAACTTCTGCTCTTTACAGAGGAGAATGCTCTTGGATTCCCTGGGGGAAGACTAAGGAAGTGGGGTTTTGCTTTAAATTGGATGCTGTCAGGAAGTGGGGTGATTTTATGATTGGGTATCTTAATTCTTACTTAGAAGGAAAACTAAAACAAGGCAAAAGTATAATTGGGAAGAAGCAGTAATCATTCATAATAGCCAGGATACTGGGATATTTTGTAATTTTGTGATCTGAACAATGTTATTTGTTGTTTTTGTCTTGATCCACTATGGTCCCTGAGTGGCCTTGTAGATATTGGTGATTTGAAATGGTTAATGTCCCAAGGCCTAACTGAGGATCAGGCCAACCTCTGGAGATCAAAGACTACCTTTCTCCTTCTCACTTCCCATCAGTTTGCAAAAGATCTCCTTTATGTTTAGAATTGAAAAAAATAATAAAATAAAATAAAAATAAAAAGAATTGAAAAGGGTAAATTTTCAGCTGATAACTAGTCATAGCAATCATGAACATTATAAAAATATCAAACTGACAGTGTAACAGTTTATACAACCTAGCTTTATTGTTGGGGAGGCTTTTAAAACACCGATGCAAAATTTACATGATAAATTCCAAGCAGCACTTATTAATAAGTCCAAAATGCATTAGAGGTTTTGTATGTTTTCTCTAAGAGCTACTTTAATACTATTAGAATATTTTCAAGTTTCAGAAAAATACATTCCCGAATTAAAAGAATGTTGCCGAGATCCAAGATGGCTGCTCAGGTAGACATCTAACCGCGGCAGCACACAACAATTTCAATGGAATACAACTAAAATGTAGAGTGGACACTGCCCAGAGCTACAGGAAGTCGACTGACTGAAAATTCTACAACAAGAAGGAAAGAGAAAACCAGAAGGAAAATCAGAGGAGCTGAAAAAAAGCCTAAGGTACAGAGACATGCTGCGCGCCCGCCTGCACGCCCACACGGAGAGGTCTGCACGCCCACACGGAGAGGTCGCAGCTAGAGAGGAGGAAAGGGCGGGGTGCTGCCTGGCGTTCCCTAGCAGGAAGGAAATAAAACCCCCAGCCTGGGCTGAATCCCCGAACCAGCAGCGCTGAGCCCCCCGAACCGGCAGTGCTGAGCCCCAGTTATGGGTCAGACCCTGGGGACCCAGGCTCCGGCAGGGGGAGACGGGGCTGTGAGGCAGAATCCCAGGGGAGCAGCGAAAAGCAGGGCCCCCGGAGTCGCGTGCATATTGCGCACAGAGGACTGAATGTTGACTCTGATGCTGGATTACCCTAGCCAGAAGAAACAAAGCCTCCGGTGGCGCTGAGCCTCAGTCCGGACTGCTCCGAACCCCAGTTCTAGGCCAATCCCTGGGGACCCAAGCTCAAGCAGAGGGAGACAGGGCTGTGAGGTGGAGTCCGGGGAGAGTGGCGAAAGGCCGAGCCCCAGAGTCACGCACACTGCGCGCAGAGGACAGTCTGTTGACTCTGATGCTAGACTCCCCTAGCGGGAAGGAGAAAAAAAGCTCCAGACTGGAAGAACGCGACGAGGAGCAGGAGCCCCTGCCGGACACTGGCCAACCGGGCACCAGCAAGGAGCCGGGCGACGGGGCCCCGGGGGGGGGGGGGGGTGCCCCTGAGCCTTCGACCACTGAGGGCGGGCAATGGAGCCAAGGCCGGGGGCTGCTTCCTGGGCGGCGCCAACCCCGGCAACAGGTTGAAGCAGCGCAGGAGCCCACGGAGAACAAAGGGGTGCCACAGGCCAACCTGCTGAGCTCCCAGGACAAGGAGGAAGAAACCAAAGAAGTTCTCAATGTGAAGAAATCAAGTGAGAGCAAAAGATAGTAAAATTACTTAAGAAAGAACACAAAGAAGATCTTGAAAAATCAAAGACTAAGTCAGAACTCAACTCACCAGCCAATATTGCAACATAAATGCGTTTTAAAAAAAAAAGAAAAAAAAAGGACAGAATGTTGGAACAGCGGTGGCCAGGCCTAGAGTGGCCAGGCACAAGGCAGTGGCAGCCAGGCCCGAAGCAGCAACGGCCATGCCCCAAAGCAGCAGCAGCCAGAACCAGAGCATCAACAGCCAGCACTGGAGCAGCCAGACCTGGGGCAGTGGCAGCCAGGCCTGAGGCGGAGGTGGCCAAGCCCAGGTGGCCAGTCCAGGAACACCCAGACCCAGAGTGGCCGGGCCCGGAGAAGCCGGGCCCAGAGCAGCCGGGGTGGGAGCAGCCAGACCCAAAACAGCAGTAGCCAAGACCAGAGCATCCAGGCCGGGAGTGGCCAGGCTCGGAGCGGCCGGGCCCGGGCAGCCAGGCCCAGAGCAGCCGGATGGGGTGCGGCCAGGCCCGGAGCAGTAGCTGCCAGGCTGGGAGCGGCCAGGCCCGGAGCAGCCGGGTCGGGTGCGGCCAGGCCCAGAGCAGCGGCTGCCAGGCTGGGAGCGGCCAGGCCCGGGGCAGCAGAGCCAAGTCCAGAGCAACTAGGTGGGGAGCGGCAGTGACCAGATCCGGAGCAGCTGGTTGTGGAATGAACCAGAGCAACAGAGACCAGGCCCTGAGCAGCCAGGCCCGGAACAGCTCGCTCCTCGCCTGCCCCTGCCCCACGGCTGCCTCTCAGACATGGCTGGAAACTTTTGCGGGAACTTGAGGGTCTGCTGAATCAAGTGATGAAGGCTTAGATCTGGACGTGTTGAGTTAGTATAGGGCTGGGGTGTTGATCTGTGAGTGCCTTGTGCGGGGCCTGGATGAGGCTAGTTGACCTATTTGGAAATGTCTTTTGTGTGAAGTGTATCATTGGGCAAGTGGAGGTATTATTGATATGAGAAAATGCTAAGTAACTGATTTACTATCTGAAAAGGGATTTACTATCGGGGAAAGGGAGGGAGGAAGAGACTGAACATAAACTGTGCACCTATGGATGAGGACAATGGGGGATGGGGAGGGGGCGGAGGGTGGGGTGGGAACCTCATGGAGGGGGGAAGAAATGAGGAACCTTTGTAATAATATGAACAATAAAGATTGATTTTAAAAAAAAAAAAAAAGAAAAATACATTCCCACTATAGCAGGTGGAAATGAGCTGACTAAATAAGTCACTGCCTGAGGCAGTTTGCTGGAAAATTTGCCAACAAGAGAACTACGGCTTGGAGCAGCGATTTTCAACCTGTGTCATCTGATGGCACACAAACTAAAATTCTGCGGCACACCAAAAAATGAATTTTTGCTAATCCGGAAAAAAAAAAAAAAGTATGAGATGGACAAAAGTAGATTTGCAGTTGTGTTATATATTTCTATATATTTTTCCCCATGAAAACTGTAAACCCACTTTTGCCCACTCCTGTGTAACTGATCCATGTAACTGTATGGCTATTGTATTAGCTATTGTCATTTTTTTATTTGATAATCTAAGAGAAAAGAAGTCAGTCAGGTATTGCATGTTTTAAAAATTCTTGTGGCACATTGGTTGAAAACTGCTGCATTAAAGGAATGCCAGGATTTCCCAGCTTTTTTCTTTTTCTCTTTTTTATTTATTGGTTTGAGAGAGGGAGAGGGAGAGAGAAACATCAATTTGTCCCACTTATTTATGTATTCCTTGATTGTTTCTTGTATGTCCCCTGACCTGGGATCAAACCTGAAACCTTGACCAGGGCCCCAGCTTTTTTTCTAGTAAGAACAATAACAAAAAGATACAAAATTCACCAAGAAATAAACTATCAACCTAAAGGAGTTTAAATATGCACACACTTCCCACCCCATTAAAACAGTGAATGATGAACTTAAAAGGTAGAGAAACAAAATTCCCATCTGTTAGTGTTGGCCACAAGATCGAAACTGCATTTTGTTTTATCAATGCCATCCGACCCGATAGGTAATAAAGATATCCTCTATTACCATTTCAGTAATTATGAAATAAAAAAGCAAGGAGACACAACCTGGCTGTCCACCCAGACCTGTGCCTCAAAAACCTAGACCCTTTCCTTGATACTACGGAAGCTCTGCCTATCTAAGGGCCAACTGCCAGTCACCTGGTTTCTGATCAGGCTCTGGCCAAGACTTGCGAAGAACATGGATTGTGGACCCAGGTTGAATGCCATAGAAGTCAAGGGTCTGGTCATCTTTTAGCTTCCGGCCACAGTAGATTAGATCTAAAAAAAAAAAAAAAAAGAACTGTCCATTTATACTTTGCCCCTCAAAACAATTTATGTGTTTTCTGTCCCCTAAGAACCTTATTTTGATTAGACAAATAGCTGCAGAATGATAAATGCTTACAAAGGAGTATTAATAAATACATTTTTATAACAATTGTTAGCAAATACAAACTCAAAAAATACAGGTTCCATGTATAAGAAAGCTATAAGGCTTAACATTGTGGAGACTGCTCAACTTAAATACTAATAAATGGGAAAATGCAACAACAAAAAAGGATAAACCCAGTATTTTGCTTTTTAAATGTTTTTTATAAATTTCATAGTGGAAGGGAGAGGGAGAGAAATAAGAACATCAATGAGTAGGAATCATGGATCGCCTGCCTCCTGCATGCATTGGGGATTGAGCCTGGCTGCAACACAAGCCTGTGCCCTTACGGGGAAGCAAACTGTGACCTCTTGGTTCACGGACCAACCCTCAACCACTGAGCAACACTGGCTGGGCTGAACCCAGTGTTTTTATGACTAAAAACACACTTTTTGTCTGTTGGATCTCTTAGTGATTATATATTTTTGTAATATAATTTAGTTGTTAGATTTAATTCCTTCTTCCTCCACCTAGAATGGCCTTGCCATCTTCCTTTCCTTTTTTATTGCTTTCCCTCTAACTAATCAACCAAAAAATCTTTTTCATAATTCCTTAGGCCCAAACTCAAAATGTCATTAGATGGCTTTCCCTGACCATCTCCTCCTTCCTTATCCCACTCCAAATTCTTGCTCTTTCAGAGAAAGAATTCTACATCATGATTAGATAGCCGAAACTGGTTTGGCTCAGCGGATAGAGCGTGGCCTGCGGACTAAAAGGTCCCAAGTTCGATTCCAGTCAAGGGCATGTACCTTGGTTGTAGGCAAATCCCCAGTGGGGGGTATGCAAGAGGCAGCTGATTGATGATGATTCTCTCTCATTGATGTCTTTAACTCTCTATCTCTCTTCCTCTCTGTAAAAAATCAATAAAATATATATTTTTTAAAAACAAACAAACAAAAACTTTGTGATAAAGTAGTTCAGTATAATAACACAACTAAAATGGCAACCAATAGTTTTATTTATTTTTAAAACCTTACCGGAGTACTTTTCCCATTGATTTCTAAACAGAGTGGAAGGGAAGCAGGAGGGTGAGAAGCATCTACATGAGAGAGTAAAATCAATTGGTTGCCTCGCACCTTTGCCCCAACCAGGGCTGGGGGTTGAACCTGCAACTGAGGCATGTGCCTTTGACCAGGAGTCAAACCTGTGACATGCTAACCACTGAGCAAAACTGGCCAGGGCTAGTTTTATTATTTGATTTGTGCTTCTTTTCACCCAAAATTTACTTTTCAGGAGTATTAACATTATGAGGCAACAAATTCCAAATTCTTAATTTACCCTTGTAATTCCACAAGTATCCTCCCCAAAAAGAGATCAAAGCAGCAGCCCATCCCTAGCTCACTGAGACTCACCAATCAGCTCAGGGTCTGGAACGGACTCCTGGAGTTTGCCAGCAATAAGCTGCTTCAGAAATGAAATACTATAGCCCCCCAGTGAGTATTCTCCCAGTTCTGTCTCTGGCAACCGAAGAATAGATTTTGGGGCAAGTGGTTGGTCAGCCAGTTTCACCGCCAGGTGCCAATCTGAGAGAGACATCCTCTCTCTTTCATGCTCTCTCTTTCTCCCTGTAAAGAAAACGAGCCCTTAGTGGTTAAAGGACAGATCACCACCCCACCCCACCCACACCCCACCTAAAGGCTGAATGAGAGATAATTCAGTGTGACACTGCTGAAAAAGCACAGGATGTAGCATCAAACCAGAACTAGAATCTGGGGTCCCTCTCTTTACTCATTCTATGATGGACAGCAAGGAACTTCAGCTCTCTAGGCCTCAGTTTCTCCATCTTTAAAGTAGACAAAAAAAAAAAAAAAAAAAAAAAAAAACACCAGCCCACCTAATAGGAATAGTGTGAGGTTCAAATGAGATCATCCAACCTTCTCTCCTTTATGTGCACTCCTCACCTTTGATTTTCATCACATCTCTTGCTTGAACTATTGCAAGAGCTTTTTAACAAGTTCTCTGACTCTTGCCTCTTGCTATCAAAAATCCACGCTGCCACCCAACACATTTAAAAACATAGATCTGATCAAGTTACTCCTTTGCTTAGAAATCCTCCAATGACTCAAAATCACCTTTATGAATAAGACTAAACTTCACAGCCTGGCTTACATTACAAAAACATTCATATCTATTCCCTCTGCCAGCCTTCCTGCCAACAGAACCTTGTCCGACTCCCACTAACTCCCCATTCAAAATAAAACTCCCCACTTTACAACTCCCACTCATCTGTTAACTCTCCTTGTAATTCCTATTTTCTTTGTCCTCTTAGCAAAACAGCAAACTCCTATAAAGACCAATACAAATACCACCTCTTCTAGCCTCACTCCCTTTCCTGTCCCCGCATTCTTTCAGGGCAAAGAGTTATATCTATTTACTTCCCAATTTCATACCGCCCCAACTCATTCTTGGGAGGCCCTTGAAAGCAAAGATTAGATTTTTTTTTTTTTTTTTTTGCCATTACTGTCCCAGTGCCTGGCACATATAGGTATTAAAAAAATGTATCAGAAATTCTGAGGGTGGCCGAAACCGGTTTGGCTCAGTGGATAGAGCGTCGACCTGTGGACTGAAAGGTCCCAGATTCGATTCCGGTCAAGGGCATGTACCTTGGTTGTGGGCACATCCCCAGTAAGGGGTGTGCAAGAGGCAGCTGATCAATGATTCTCTCTCATCGATGTTTCTAACTATCTCTCTCTCTTCCTCTCTGTAAAAAATCAATAAAATATATTTTTTTAAAAAGAAATCCTGAGGGTGGAATAATCTTGTAGGGCAAGAAAAGCCCTTGTTATAACGATTATTGCTTCAATAGGCTCTAGTAGGGAAGAGGAAAGAAAAGGTTGTGAGATTGGCAGGCTGCTCAACAGGCCTCAAGCCATCCTCAAGGTACCTTCCATCCCCAGATTCATGACAGGGAGGAAATAGGTTTTTTACATACCCTACCATAGTAGCTTATTTAATCCTCACAATCGTTCCCTGAGGCAGGCATTCTCGTCCACCTATTACAGACCAGGCAACCAAGACCCAGAAATTCACTGGCACAAGGTCACTAGCAGCTAGTACTGGGGAAGACGCTCTCTTTGGCTACGACCCCACCGCTCCCATGGGACCAGCTAACTTGTCACATAAGTCAGGCCCACGCGGCCCGGGGCCCAGTGGCCTCACCCGTCCCGCGGAAAGAACCCGGCCGCACGGCCGCCGGTGTAAACACTCACTCCGGTTCTCCCGCCGGAAACCGGAAGCTCCGCGCTGCATGCTGGGAGTTGCAGTTTCTTCTGATTCCCCGCCCTTTATTAATAGACCAACAAATGGTGCTGGCTGCAAACGTCCGGTTCCGGGGAGGGCGTGGCTTCTGGGCGTTAGAAATCGTCTCCTCCCTGGGCTTTCTAGACGATTTAGCCGCTGCTCCCATCCTTGTCCTGTTCCAGGCCCGAGTCGCGAGCGAGCTGCCTGCGTGGCGGGCACAGGCCCGCGGCCGCCGTGCCGGCCTGGAAGCCTGCGGAGCCGGCCGGTCGGTCGCGCCGGCTGGTTACGGCGCCGCAGATGGGAACCTAGCCCAGACTGCGGGTCCCAATCCCCTTAGACTCTTGAGGACCTTTTCCCTAGCGGCTTCTTCGGACACCCCACAATGGTACTTTGCAATCCTCACTTTAAAATCGGGTGCCCTCGCTGAAACCGGTTTGGCTAAATGGATAGAGCGTTGGCTTGGGGACTGAAGTGACCCAGGTTCGATTCCCGTGAAGGGCATGTACCTTGGTTGCGGGCATATCCCCAGTAGGGGGTGTGCAAGAGGCTAGTGACTCTCTCATCGATGTTTCTAGCTCTCTATCTCTCTCCGTTCCTCTCTGTACAAAATCAATAAAAAATATACATATTAAAATCGGGTGCCCTCAGTGAAATCAGAGTCTTTGTGTTCCTTGCCACAACTTCTCGCCGCGAACCTACCTATCCTGGCCGGCCGAGACTGTGGGTTCATAAAGGGAGTTACTGAGTCGGGTTTCAGGTACGACCATGGTTATGTTTATTTGCATACTCGCTCTGATTGGCTGATGGGCGTGGCTGGTGGTTTGTAGCGGAGTGATGGTTGATTTACATATTATTCTTTTATTAGATAGGATTGATTTTTTGTTTGGATGATGTATCTTCAGCTGTCAATGGAGTATTAAGGTCCCCAACTGCTAGGGGCTAATTTCAGCAGGTCACAAATGCAAGAAGTTCATCAAAAAGTTGGTGAAGCCGGAACTAGTTTGGCTCAGTGGATAGAGCATCAACCTGCAAACTGAAAGGTCCCAGGTTTGATTCTGGTCAAGGGCATGTACCTTGGTTGTGGGCACATCCCCAGTAGGGGGTGTGCAAGAGGCAGCTGTTGGATGATTCTCTCCCATCAATGTTTCTAACTCTCTATCCCTCTCTCTTCCTCTCTGTAAAAAAACAATAAAATATATTTTTTTTAAAAAGAAGTGTTCTGTTTTCTTGATGTAGTGTTCCCTTTAGCATTATAAAATGTACATCTTTGTTTCTTATTATCTTGAAATCTATTTTGTCAAATATAAGTATGCTACATATGCTTTTCTGTGGATGTTATTTGCTTGGAGAATCATTTTTCACCCTTTCATTTAGAAAATGCCTTTGTCTTTGCAGCTTAGATGTGTCTCTTGAAGGCAGCATATGGTTGGGTTTGTTTGTTTTATTTTTTAAATATGTTTTTATTGATTTGAGAGAAAAGGAAGAGAGTAATAGAAACATCAGCTGACTTCTACAGGCTCCTGGCAGGGGTCAAAGTTCAACTGCTGAGCAAAAATGGCTGGACTAGATTTGTTTTTTGATCCAATCTGCAATTCTGTGCCACTTTATTGGTGAACTTGGTCCATTTACATTTAAGGTAAATCTTTTTTTTTTTTTTTTTTTTTACTTATTTTGTGTGTTTTTTAAAATTTATCTTTATTGTTGAAAGTATTACAGGTGACCCTTTTGTAATAGTTTGACCCTCATAGACCCCCTCCATCCTGCTCCCTAACCCTCTAAAGGCATTCCCTGAACTATTATCTGTCCATAGGCTATGCATATCTACCCCCCCACCACCAAAAAAAAGGTAAATATGCAAATTGACTGTCACTTCATGACTTCCACCAGCCAATCAGGAGTGAGTATGCAAATTAACCTCATTGCTTCTGTGGAGACTAACAGCAGGGAAGAGGTAGCTCTCAGCACAGCCTGCTTGGCTGTGACCACAGTGACCTAGGAGCAGGCAGGCCCTGCAGAGAGCAGAGAACCACAGGGAGCGGGCCTAAGCTTCCTGTGGGCCCCCAGATTGGAGAGGGTGCAAGTCAGACTGAGGGACCCCCCCACCCGTGCACAAATTTTGTGCACCGGGTCTCTAGTATGCATATAAGTTCATTGGTTAATCTCTTCCCCTCCTCTACTTCCCTCTGAAATGCATTAGTCTGTTGCATGCTTCAGTGTCTCTGGATCTGTTATTTATTTATTTTTTAAGTCTTTTTTAAAAAATATATTTTATTGATTTTTTACAGAGAGGAAGGAAAAGAGATAGAGAGCTAGAAACATCGATGAGAGAGAAACATCAACCAGCTGTCTCTTGCACACCCCCTACTGGGGATATGCCCACAACCAAGGTACATGCCCTTGACTGGAATTGAACCTGGGACCTTTCAGTCCACAGACCAATGCTCTACCACTGAGCCAAACCGGTTTCGACTGGATCTGTTTTTTTAAAATATTTTTTTTTATTGATTTCAGAGAAGAAGAGAGAGGGAGATAGAAACAAACATAAGAGAGAATCATTGATTGGCTATCTCCTGCATGCCTCCCACTGGGGATTGAGCCTACAATGCCAGTATGTAGCCCTGACCAGGAACTAAACCAAGACCTCCTAGTTTATAGGTCAACATTCAACCACTGAGCCAGACCAGCCAGGCTCTGGATCTGTTTTGTTCATCAGAGATAAAGAGTTAGAAACATTGATCAGCTGGCTCCTTGTCTGATCGCTGTGGCTAGGACTTCTAGTACTATGTTGAATAAGAGTGATGAAAGTGGACAACCCTATCATGCTGCTGTTCTTATGGAAAATGGTTTTAGTTTTTGACCATTGAGTATGATATTCACTGTAGGTTTGGCACATACGACCTTTATTATGTTGAGGTATGATCCCTTTATTCCCACTTTACTTAGAATTTTTATTAAAAAATGGGTGTATGATTTTGTCAAATGCTTTTTCTGGTTCTATTGATATGATCATGTGATTTGTGTCTTTCAATTTGTTTATGTGGTGTATCACATTTATTGATTTGCAAATATTATACCACCTTTGCATCAGGTTGATGAAGATGCATAGTGGAATACTAGGTGTACCGGTTAATAATGGCAAATATTGTAATCAAAGAAAACACAATAATTTCAAGAGAAACATCAGAAGTGCTTTATTCAAAGTAATGTCCATCTCTAGCTACACATTTCCCCCATCTTTCAGGTAATTTGTGCGTACTATCCCAATAGTACTTTTCTTGTTCTGAGGCAAACCATTC